TTTCGTCGCCGCCGCCCCCCCGGCTCCATCTGCGCCAGCCGCTGCTCAGCCAGCACAGCCAGGCTGTCGCAGACCGTGCGCCTCGCTGCACCTTCCGCCGTCTGGCGGGGAGCTGAGAACAGCCACCCCCCACCCCATGGTCACACGCTGCGGCGCTGTCACGGCACAATGCCCGTTGGCCCCTGCAAGGCGGTGGCTGCCGTGGCATGAGTGAGGACAGCCAAGGGCAGAGGGACGTTCCCCAGCAGAACCCAGACCCGCAGGACAGAGGAAGCCTTTGGTGTAGGGTTTCTCATCGTTACCAAAGAACATCTGCACAGAGACGAGATTGCAGAAATCCTTCCACCAACCTTGTCTGGACTGAAGATCCCACAAAGGATACTCTAGGCTCATAGAGAAAGTAACGCTATCCACTGACCGTACATACGTAACAAAAACTTTAGTACGTATGTTACGAGGAACAAGGGAAAAAAAAAAAAAGATGTGCCCTCACCGGGAATGCTTTTAAAGCAGGAGACCACAGCATCGCTGCACTGCTGTAAGAGCTTGTGGAACCTGACTGAACACAGCTTTATGAAAATGATTTCAAATAGGATTAAAACTCTTGTAGAAGAACTTCACAGGAGAAGAAGCAGATCCCCAAAGCCCAGCTTCTTCTGCAGGATTCTCTATGGAAATACAGAGACAGTCATCTACAACAGTCGGGTCTGCAGCTCGATGGTGTCTCTTGGAAGGAAAGACCATCGGCCAAGGAAACCAGCTGTGACTTTCCGTGGGGCTGGTTTAATTTAAAGCTACAGTAGGTTCCCTCAAGGACAGTCCCCAGATAATTTATTGCAATGCGTATGATGATTGAGTTAACACAATGGAGCAGAAAATACAGCACGCTATGTGGGGGGGATGTATGCTCTGGTATTTGCAGACAAATGTTTGCAATTGACACAGGACGCTGGCTGCATCGTGTAAACACTGTAACATCAAGAACAGAGAGGAGCTGGGCACAGGCGAGGACAAGCTGTTTCAGACAACAAATGAAAATCAGAGCTTTACTGTGAGTTCATCTGAACTAAGACAGAAGGGAAATGTCTACCATAGCAAGTGTTCTGGAACACATTCTCCTCTCAACACACGCATTTGGGAGTGCAAATGCCTTGTTGGTTTAACTCAACGACTGCTTTCCAAAGTAGATGAGACTAAGCCAGAAAAAGGGCATTTATTTTACAGCTGGTGCATCTAAACCGTGAGCAACCACAGAATCACTATTGGTCGATCTCCAAGGCCAAAAAAGCCTTCAGGCAGGAGGTCTGAATTCTTTTGTGCGGGATCCGACAGTAGGTGGTGGTCAGGCTACCAATGGGAGACCTTAGGCTGGCAGCAAGTCATGACCACTGACGGCCGTTTGCGCGCCAAGGGCACCGCTGCCGTACCCAGCACAACTTCCGCGGCGTGACTCCTCCACAGGGCTCTCTCTCCGCTCCATCCCTCACCCTCTTGATTATTTTTTGTGAGTTAACAAACAGGAGAACACCCTTGAAACATCACAGGTCTCATCTCATCAGGTGATGAGGAGGACCCAGGCGGTCTCCTCCCTCCTGAGTCAGCTCACAGGGTCTTCACATGGGGAGAGCATGGTTGCCATGAGCAATGGTGGTAGCATCTCCCACCCTGGGGCAGTGACAAAACCTGCCCTTTCCGAGAGAAATAGGCAAGAGTGGATACTGCCAACGGCTGCAGAGGCCTTTGCAAAGTGACCTGAGCCTCTTCCCACACATTCTTGAGTGCTAACATCAAGGACAAACCACAAGAGCTGGATGTTTCGAAGACAAGACGTTCTGGACTGATAAAATCAGGAGCAGTTGGATCAGGGAACAGGAATGTATCATGTAATTACTTAACTACTTAATTATACATAAAATGCATAAACAAAAGGACTTGAATGCCCCCAAAGGGCACCTGCCGGGTGAGAAAAACCTTTCTGGGGAGAGAATCAGTTACGAGCAATAGGAACGGTAGAATTCTGATCCATTTATATGACCCATTTTGGTAATCTCTAACGACACGGCATCTTTCCTCTGGACAGTAACTTCTTAATACAAGTATGCTAGATCTAGTGTTCTATCGCCAAGTTTTCTCTTTCACACACAACTGAATAAAACTTGTTATGATCATCTTATTTTATTGGCGATGTTGGGTAACACAATTGTTCAGAACCATTAAAGCACATGAGGAGTTGTTACCTAAACAAATAACCAAAAAGTAAAGATCTGGTCAAGTGAAAGTAACCTTCTAGGACCCAGGGCTTGTCAATACTGTTAAAGTCGCATTTGTGACATCAGATGCGTATACAGACCCAAACACATCTGGGAATTTGTCATAAGAACAAGTGGCACCATAATTCTGACCCTTGTACCTCTATAACCAACCTCTGGGGCAGGTGAAGAGGCACAGACCCTGCAGAAAAGCTAACAGGAAAGGGGAGTGGGACCTCTCCAGCCTCCTTTACAATAACCAAGTTTTCCACCAGTAACGTTACCAACGGTTAGCATGGTCCGTTGACCATGAGCTGCCCTCCCAGACCCACGATTCCCAGCAGGAGACTGGGGAGGTCAGTAACCCAGCACATCCACATCTCCAGCATCCCCCATCCCCGCTCCCACACCAAGCTCCGCTCCCACCCCGGAGCCCCGCAGGGGCTGTCCCCAGACTCAGCCCTGGGGCAGCGTCGTGGGACAGAAGCTCCTGCCTTGTGCTGCCGCCCTTCAGCTACCTGAACGCTCACACCCCAGAACAGTGGGATTTGCTGGGGGACTGTGACGATGCAAAGAAGGCTCGTACGGCAGGGTGCTGCACTACAAACGTCAGGTTAGTTTAAAGACCATTCCTATCAGAGCTGTCAGTGCAAATGACTTCTCCTGCCGCCTCCCACGCCTCCTCCCAGGGCCAGGCTCTGCTCATGCCCCGACGAGCGACACTGCTGGGGGACAGGCAGCACCCCCTCCAGCTGAAAGAGACATCTCACTGGCAGGACCAAACCGCATTTTCTACACGCAAAGCTTTCATCGCCCGAGAGTGACAGTGGAGGGGGCTCGCAGTCACCTTGGGCATGTGGTCTGTGCTCACCCCACAGCTGTCCGAGCTGATTTAGGCTAAAATGTATTCCTTGTCTTCTAGAATTCCAGCATGCCAGCCTTAGCAGAAGAGGGACAGAGTCCCTGGCAATTGCTGGAAGTGTTCAAGAGCTTTTTTACAGCTGACCTAGCTGTCCTGCTGCTTTACACCTGCACCGACACAGCACCAGGCATGGGACTCATGGCTCTGAAGGCTAGGTGCAAGATCCGTGATTTCTACCGGTGTAAACGGCCAGAGGCTTTAATTTATATCAGCTAGGGGTAGGGGCCAGGGTTTCTGCAGAGACATCTGCACAGACACGCAGAGGCGAGGCAGCAGCAGCTATGGCAGCGTGCATGGCCGGAGCACCTGCAGCACCGTCCGCCCGTGAGCTCCTGCGCTGGGCACTGCACCAGCAATGCCGAAAGGCCCTGGGAAGTGAGCACGCTGCACATCTGCCACATCCTGAGCCTAAAACAAGACTTCATTTCTAACCGAAGAGACACGGACAGCGGGAGCAGGAGGCAGGCACAGCCCCCGGTCCCACGGGGCCAGGACCACACGCAGGGGCAGGACCCTGCTCTTGGGCAGCTGGCTGAGAGCCTGGCATCCCTCCATCCCCTGGGTGGCTCTTTGGGTTTGGTTTTTTTAGATACCCACACATCTAAACTCTCTTGCGCATTTTTTCTTTCCCAGCCTGATGCTTGGGAGGTTTTCACGTTAATGTATATGAAACACAGAAACACCCCGTGGATCAATATTCCCATGCAAAAATCAGGAAATAATAGGCTATCATCTTCCAGCTCCCAGGAGAACCGAGCGACGTGCCCACAGCCGTAACAGAACCCAAGTGCTGGTCCCTGCATGAGCAGCAAACAAGGTCCCAGCCCTCTCGCAGCCTCCGATGGCTGGATCCCACCCCAAGCGCAGGGTTTCTCAGCTCCTCTGCAGCGAGCGGCAGAGCACAGGACAAGCTAACGAGCTCTGCTGGGCTTAGGAGCTGGAGACCCAGGCTGCAGCTGGTGGAGCCCATGGCACGGGGCTGAGTTTAGGATTCACTGCTCCAAGGAACGTGTTTTTCACTCTGTTATAAACTGCCTCCATTTTAAAGCAGCGGTACAATGCACATGCAGGATCCGTTATTTGAGAAGCGACTGCGAGCTTTCAGAGCGCCAGCCAAGTTTACCCACCGGCAGCCTCCCATCCCGCCTCCTGCGAGCGAGAACATGGAGTGGGGCCAGCGCACACCTGCAGCATTGAGCAACTACACCAGCGGTGTGGGGAACGCTCCGGGACAGGAGGAAACATGCTGTCATCACCTTCTGGGGCTCTCAAGGAAAACCGCTGCTAAAGCGGCACATGAGCTTAAGTAACATCTTCTCGTACTTACTTCGCAAATCTTTTCCAACGAAGGGACAAAGAAATCATCGCAGACGATTGCCAAAGCATAGAACATATACACGGCCTGGAAAAGAGAAGAGAAGATGTTGAGTGTGGAGACTGTCAAGCAGAAACGCACTGCAGCACCCCAACTCATCGTACGTTTGTTTTGATGTATACTTTATCAAAAAATGAGATGCTCTTGCAAGAAGAATTCATGGGGCTCTCTGGGATTTAATGGAAAGATTGTGAAGTATTTATCCAGAAGTTCTTACAAGCTATCAAAAGCTGACAATGTTTTATCATCATCATAAAGACTACTTTTTTTTTAATTCTCTGGATATTGCTATGCCACACTTAAATATTTTTGCCTTCCTTTTTTTCTCCCATGTTTGACAGTGCAAGGCTTTTTATGATTGCATTCTGTGAAAACCCAAGCCCTAGAGGAGTAACTTTTGAAATGCCAGTGTTCTTAAAAAGGGGAAAGGAGTGCCTGCCATGTCCCCTGGGATCACAATGATAATTCTCGCTAAACTCCTCATAGGAACAACTTCCAAACGACTGGAACCCAAGGGGGTACACAAGACTCGAAAGGACACCCAGTGAATGAGTTCTTCAATTTCAAGCAAGAAGCATTTAATCTGTATTTCTGCATTATTGAACAGACCGCACGTGGGCTGGGAGGGAGCACAGCCCCAGTGACCAGCCCAGGATTTGATCTTAGGGTCGGGATTGAGACCCAGAGTGGCCAATAGTCTATCCTATACCATACCATACCCGTCATGCCCAGGATAGAGGTGAGGACCCTCTGGAAGATCGGCCCTTTTGGTTCCAGATCTCTTTGGCTGCGGGTCATCTCGCTCCGGGTGGTCGCTCTCCCAAGGCCTTTCCCCCCCCCACCCCGGTCAGCTCTGGGTCTGGGACGCTCAGACTGTTCTCTCCGTTCCGTGAGTGCGGTTTCGGGACTCTCCCTGCTCCGGGATTGTTATCTGGGAACAGGTGGAGCCTTGGTCATCGGGTGGGGGGGCAGTGTCACTGTGTGTCACTCATTTGTATATTTGTATAGAGTATTATTTCACACTGCCTTACACGTTTATTTCTAATGACCTCGCTGTGGTCACAGTTCTGGTTTTGGCTGGAGTCTCCGCGGGATTTATTTCACCGGCTGGAGCGCCATCGGGATAAGGAACCAGAGCCTAAGGAGCATCTGCCAAGGACATGGCATGGTTCACAAACCAGAACAGTGCGACCACCCTGGTAAGGGAGCACGCGAGGACAAGAACCGTCACTTCCTCAAAACCTGGTTGGGTCTTTTTGTGGGGGGTTGTTGGTTTGTTTGTTTTTAAACAAAACAAAATAAGGTTTAGAGCTTGGGCCAGCAGGAACACAACCCAAAAAATTAATTTTATGACAAGTCAGACTCGTAAAGATGGAGCCCAGACACCAGCCCAGGCTACTTCATGGGAAAGAAGGCAGACAGCCAGCAAAGCCAGTCTGCTCCGTACAGCAAACGTGGGGAGTGCCAAGAGCCCGGCTTTAATGCCCCGCAGCTGACCGGGAGGCATCAGCTTCCTCCTAAGTTAACCTGGGAACCCAACAGAGCCCCATGGCTTCTTCCCTCCGCACAGAGGAGCCTGTCCTGGCAGCTGGTTCCACCTGAAAACTGCCGTCGGGGACAACTGCAGCAGCGGGGGACGCGGCGTGCCGGGGCAGAGCTGGAGCGCCGTGTGCGTGACGGCAACGGGACAACGCGACGGGCGGAACACAAAATGCAAATCTCAGCCCCAACCTCACTTGGTCATGTCCAGCTCCAAGGGAAGACATGGAAGTCTTTCAACAGGCAACCTACTTAAAATTCTCCCCAGGAGGATATTAAAAAATTACGAAAATGTAATGGCCCTGCATAAAAGGATTACATACACCGGATTAAGGACTGCATTAGGAGTGGTTTTAAAATGATGATTCTAACAAACAAGCACCAGAGAAGTAATTGCAACCTCTGTATCAAAGGAGATTAAATATCGAACTCGAAATACATGTTCTGTTGCACAGGACAGAAATTATAATTTCTCATGTTTGTTTCCCGTGACAGTTTTCATACTCGGATTAAAACTTGCTTTACTGAGCTAAAGCAAGCAGCTTTTCGTGAGAACGCCTGAATGCCACAGGAGCCAGCAATTCTGCAGCCCTGCCTCTTCCCAAGAGAGCCAGGAGAGGACGAGGTGACCGTCCCCGGCTGCTCCCCCCACAGACCCCTGCCCTGGGCACGTGGGCACAGCCACAGGCTGTCACTGGAACCACCGTAACCAAGCACAGCGCCTTCCCCAATCCCGACTGCACTGCAAAACCACCCAAACCTCCAGGATTAAGGAGAAACTGAAAAAAAAAACCCAAAACAAACACCAACCAAGGACCCCATGGAGCCCAGGGAACCCGCACAGCAGCTGGGTACCACGGGGGTACTGTGCTGGGTTACCATGGGGGTACCGTGCCGGGGTACCACGGGGGTACTGTGCTGGGGTTACCACGCCGTGCTACAGTGAGCATGTCCAGGGCACTGGAAAATCATTCCTGGATGAGACAGCTCAGTGCTGCAGACACGAGACGCGGCTGGTCTTGACTCGGTGCAGAAATAGATAAAGACAGGACGCATCCCGAGCGACCTACATTTTCCCAGCGGCTCGCACAAGGGAGGCTGGTGCCTGGCTGGAGCTCCCCGTTCCCATGGCTACACAGAAGGATGGCAAACAAGGAGCTGGGGGGACTGCTGAGGACAGACCCCAGCCCTGCACCCGCTCGGTGCAGCACCCGGCCGGGTCCAGGGGGCTGCCCTCGGCCCCCACGCATGGACCCTTTGCACCGGCATTGCAAAACGAAGCTCTCGGGTGCTGGGGAGCTGCCAGATCACGGGCTGCATGCTTGATCCTTGAGCAGCGAACAGCACTGGACCCTGATGCCAGGCAGCTCTGCGCAGCCCCACGGTGGGACCCGCTGGGGTCTCTGTGTTTTCACTCCTGTTAACAGGGAGAAGATGCCTCGGGACTGCTGCGAGAGGACATCCCCTGCACCCGCCCAGACACCGCTACAGCCTCTGCCCCTGTTCTCTGGCTCCAGTTAAACCAGCTCTGCCTGGATGTCCTTCAGAAACAAGGTACGGGCAAAGTGGGAGAGGAGTTTTGACTGCAATGAGCAGGAACAGTGTGAGGGAGGTCAGTGAACGCCAGAAGCATGGCAACGACCGGCTGACACCACTCTGCTGTTCTCCCTTTTACAGCCCAGCTTCCTCATATCTGCAAAAAAATGAAGACAAGGTGCCTGTATCCTTTTTTCCCCAGGAAGTGCATTTCTGTGCGTGCTCTGATCTGATCCCATCTGGTACCTGCTGCTGGGAGGCAAGAACCAGAACGAGAGCGTTCCCACCCCAGCACGACGACACCCCTCCCAGCCCGGGCTGAAGGGAGGGGGCTGATGCTGACAGCTGTCCGTTCTCTCTGAGAACCAGTTTCTTCTCTGACACCAGGGTAGAAGCAGTCCCTGTGCTCCAGAAGAAGGCACCGCGTTCCCCATCGCGGCTCCTGCCCCCCGACCCGCGGGGCTGCAGCAGGGCACAGGCTGGGAACACTGCGGGACCTTCCCTTGGGATGCCGGGCAGCTGGGGGTGGAAAGGCACTGATGCTCACACGCAGTTCTCACTAAAAGCGGATTTTCCTTTTTATTCTGAAGCAGACAGTTCATTGTCAAATTTCAGTCCCCAAACCCCCACTTTAATACACGTTAAAATTATGTTCAGCGTATCCACAACCGACAAAAAAGCCTGTGGAAAAATAAACTATCTTGAGAGCAATTACGAAGCCCAAATCTAATTTAAACTAGACTGGAAAATAACCCAAGTCACAGTTAATGTAGTCAGCTGTGTGATTTCATTGTTACTAATAATGAATACAGTCCCGGTCTCATCTCTTTTAAACAGCCTGGAAAAACACATCCAGGGCTATGGATCACACGGAGATTAAAGATAACTGTGGCAACTCGTATTTTTAATGGTCTCATTATAAACTAACTCCTGTAACTCAAGAGATTTTTCATTAAAATATTTTTTGTGTTAAAATCTGAGAAAAGTGAGGTTACAAGGCAGCAACGTGCTGCTGCAACAATCGTCCTCTGCCTAGAGAGGCTGTGCAGGACTCTGCTCGTTGTTTTCAAGTAAAGCGATGAATTTAACTGCATACAGTTAATCCCCTAAACAGCTCTCACAACACTCTTTTGTGCTACCCACCGTGTAGTTACAAGAGCCTATCAGCATTTTTCCAGACTACATTACGACGTTTTCACACTTTCCGTACAGACGAAGGGCAGCTAACAGAGCTCCCTGCACTAACAGCTGACCAGCAGCGACCTTTTTCTGCCCAAACACGGAGCGAGAGCACGGGCTTCCGGGAAAACAGACCACCAGCGCCCAGGACGCAAGCCCGCTCCGGCCGGGATGGTGCGAACCCGCAGACGGGCTCCGCGACATGCTGCCTGCGGCCGGGAGACGGACCCCGGAGTCACGACACCGAGCGTCCAGGAGTCGGGAGAGAGCAGAGCAGCGGCTGCCACGGACGCACGGGCAAAGGTCCCTCCACCAGCTGCAGAGGCTCTGGCCACCCGCTGCGGCAGGACACAGCTTTGGGAGGGGGCTATCTGAATTCTTTGGGAATATTCTTGTGGGTACTAAAAAATCTGTTAGGTCCAGTGCTCGCTTTGCAAAACATCTCAGAGTTCAATGTTCCCATGGAAACTTGGGAGCCTTGAGCTTGCCAGACAAAGTCAACAGTGATGTTACCCAACAGATTATTGCAGCCATTTAGCTGAAAAAAAATGGTAACACAGCACTCGCATTACAACATGCAATGCAATCTAATTTATACTTAAAAAGAAATCATGAATCACTGCACACAGCTAGCTAACAGTGACTGCTCACTTCAGCGGACCGAAAATTATGAAATGCATTTAAACATTCATTAGAAGCAGGTATTACTTAAGAACTCCTCTTCCCCCCAAGAAGTACCGACTTGGCAGTTCTTAAATTAAGATGACATTAAAAAAGAATTGTCTTCATCTACCTACAAAAAGCCAAGGCATGGATTTGGAGGGACAGCGCTTCCCTCTGTGCGAGTACTGCAGCTGCTGAGCACAAGGTCCTCTGATGCCAAGCGACTGGTGGGCAGACAGACCCGGGCTATTTCCATAAATTCACCTTGAGTACCTCTAGTTTTGGCCTTAACCATGCACACCACTTACACAGACCTGTTTGGGGCAGAGATCACAAAACTGCAAGTCCAAAATTGCACAGATTTCTGATGTCAGTAAAGTCTTTAAAATAGCATCTATGTAGGTCTTCTTGGCACATTCCTGAACTTTCAGGCAACTCCCCCGCCTGCCTGACATCCTCCAGAATTCCCCAGAGCATCCAGGACACCCTGCAGCTCACAAATGAGAAGTTTCAATCTTCTCTTTAATATATTCCAGAAGAATAACTCACTTTATCAACTGAACTACTTGGGGAAATTCTGGAGACCCAAACTTTTTTTTTTTAAATTAATCCAGTTGATAATCTTTTTAAACAGAAAACCCTCTCTAACTTCTCTCTCCTACAGCTATATCACAAGAGGTGCCACAAGGATTTCTGGGGGAGGTTTCTGGGGATAACACCACACCTATTTTCTGAAGGCAATTACACGAACGTCCTCCCTCGCCCTGCCAGCCCCGCAGCATCCTGGTGCTGGGGGCAGAGGGATGGGGACCACAACAAAGCCCGTCTGGCCGGAGTAGAGTAACTTGCAGGAGTTTATTCACACGACAGCACGCACTGCGCTCACTGCCGCACCAGGTCTTGCAGAAGGGGTTTATGTAAAACTGCAGCATGTGATACCCAGTGTGGCGACGGACATCACTCCCAGCCCCCACAGGGAGCAGAAGCCCGGGGCAGGAGCAGGCGCCAGCCTGGGGTGAGAACCCAGCCCCGTCCACACAGATGGGACAGGGAACGCCAAACCACAACACTCATCGATGGGAGAGGGAATGCCAGACCACAACACTCATCGATGGGAGAGGGAACTCAAAACTCATGGATGGGAGAAGAACGCAAAGCCACAACACTTACGCAGAGGACGTGCAGGACCACGGCTCCATGTCTCCGGTCCTCGTTCGTGAAGATGTCGTTGGGGAATTCATGGAGAGCTGCAAAAAGAGGACAAAAAGAAAGCTCAGCTGTTTAGTCGGCTACTGAAAACCACCGCGTGTGCTGTTCAGCAATATAACGAGAAGCTGTCCACGGCGTCTCTAGGACGGTAGCCGAGGATCCCCCGGCACGGCCCGTGTGTGTTCCCAGCAGCAGCCTCTTCCCGCACAACGAAAGGCAAAGCCGTGCCTGCTCCCGGAGAGGGAGCTGTGCTCGGCCTCCCCAGCCTCCGTGGGCTACTCAGCTTCAGAACCAGCATCTGCTGGTGGAACCAAACCATGAAGTACCTTCATGCAGAAACACAGTTATTTCAAATAGTGATAATACAGAGCAGGGGAAAGGAAAAAAAAAAAAAGGCAACCCAGATGAGGCGCTGCGCAGCAGAACTGGTCTGTACCTGCTCCACTGCGTGCACTTCTCCCAGCGCATCCCCCACCAGCCCCTTCCAGAGGCAGGACGCTGGGCTCGGTGGCCGTCATGTCGCCTTCCTAACTTGGGCAGTTTTCTAAACAATCAGGAGAGAAGAAAGGGACACTGTGGAACCCGCAGGGAGAGGCGGTGGCAGCAGAGCCATGGCCACCGGTGCCCAAGCAGTCATGCTTTCACCCGCTGGCTCTGTAGAGCAGCGAGAAGCACCAGCTCCAGAGTAACGAGCTGACGCCCAGAGAAGGTTTGCAGTTCACCTTGGCTTTGTCACCTGGTGTAAGCCCAACAGTCAAAGTCCTGGAGATGACACACCAACAGGCATCTGGGACAGACGATGGCCCACCATGCCACCCAGCTGCCCGAGAAAACCGCTCGGCAATTTAGTTTGTTCAATGTGTCTTCATCAAGAGCAATGTATTTTTGTTAGATTAGTGATTCTCTTCCAAAGCCAAGCAATCAGCACAAGAGTGGAAAAGAGCACGCCAGGCAGTCCCATAGCCTCTGTTGCAGATACGGTGTTGCGAGTCATTTAAAGACAAATTACTTTCATTTACTCAAATGCTTTACTACTGTTCTGGGTGTTAATTGGATTACAAAGCTCTTAAAGACAGTCTGACAATTAGGTTGCAGGAATGGCTTTTGGTTATGAACTGAAGAGCAAACGTGAAGATGATGTTCTTGCACTCCAAGTGCTTCTTTGTAATTCCAGGTTTGAATTGCTCGGTAACAACTGAAATAACGGTTTCCTTCCAACCATCAGTTCCGCACATTCAGCCTCAAGCTGTAAAAATCCAGCTGTGTTTTTCCTGGCTTTCACACCATTATCATTGATAAAACTCCAGCAACTGGAATTTAATTAGCAATCCCAGAGATGATCAAATGGAAAAACAATGCAGCCCACTCTCAGAGCTTTGCTGCCTGTGAGCAATAACCGAGCCAAAGGCAGCTACAGCCCAACGTCGTTACCAACGTGAGCAAGGGACCTACCCAGCGCTGTGTCCGAGGAGGAACACAGCCTTTTGCACACAAGCCGTCTTTTGAACAGAGACTTGGGTGTGCAACCTAAAGAAACTAGCCAGACAGGTACCAGCACAGAGACAGGAGTTAAAGGAAAAAACCAAAACAACAAAACCCCAGAACACTATGGAAGATGCAAGACAATGAAGTTAAAATATCTGGAAAGGATTAATCTTCCCTCGGCAAAAAAACATTGTGTAGAAAACAAATGTTTTCATCACAGTTTTGTGTAAGAAATGTTGCTGGCCATTCACCAGGATAAGACACTGCAAAGGGTGTTCCCCTTTGCATGTTTTTAGCAATATGCAAAACAGTTTGCTAACACACACACATACATCTGCTTCCCTCCCCCGCAGCTGCCTGGGAGATGGGAGCATGACAATTCCTAACGATGAAAATCCAGCCCCTTTATCAAGAGTCTCTGCTCGCTCAAGGAGACTGAAGTGCATCTCAGGTAAAGCACACAGAAAAAAACCAGCATAAAAATAGCACAAGCTTGTGGCTGCCGGCAGAGGTGGGGAATCCCAGCAGCCGTCCTGTCTGCGCACAGCAGAAACACCTCATCCCCTTGCTCCCACCCCACGCTGTAACGAAACGCACCTTCTCCTCCGAGAAAATCCAAGGTGTCCATCACCGTATCCCCTACGACATCATCTGAACACAAACGCTTTTAGCGGGTTACACTTGAACGTGTGCAATTATAAAATAATGTATGCAGATCTGAAATCTGATGCATTTGCATTACACGCATCAGGTGCAGATGAGCACAGATAAGAGGAGAGCTTTGCAAAACACAGGAGCTCCTTTCTAAGAAGGAATAAAGGGTGTTGCTGGAACACCACTCCAACAGCAGCTGCCCCATTTAACCAGTATAAAAGCTCCCACAGTTTGTTATTTTGCTTAAAAGGGTGCTTGGCTTTTGTACAGAAAATAGGGGCATATTTTGCCAGGCTTATATTGATTGCACCAGGAAAAAAACCAACCACCCTTTCAATGAACCTGAACTCAAAGAATTAAAGATTTCTGCCTAATGGATCCACTCTCGTCCTGCAGCCTTTGCAGGCATCGGGGCTGCAAACTGTGGAAGGGCAGGATCCTCACACCAGCTCAGCACCTCCACAGACATTTTCTGCGTGGGCACTCGGTACAATGCCAGCTGCCGAGCCCAGGCCCCTCTCCTCGCAGCATCCCGCACTGACAGCATCCCTACTGCAGACGTGTGACCTCCAGCCTTCGGACGCACACAGCTCCGTGGGAGTTCTCATTTAACGCGAGGCGCGTTCTCAGAAAACAGCACAGGAGCGTGCACCCCGACACAACGCCTTCTTCAGGTGCAGTTCAATTGTGTATTGACACCTTGCAAAAACCACTAGCAAATATTGGGAGTATTGGAATTTGGAAGCAATTGGAACTAGATAATTATCTGCAAGGGATGTATTAGCTGTGTGAAGGAGACTGAATCACAAAGGAGCAGATCAGCAGTAGGTGCAGAAAGCTGTGCTCTTCTGCATTAGCCGAGGACCTGCAGCAAGGCTTCGGCCGTTCAGACGGACAGAGCTGCTGTGCAGAACGGGGAGCCCATGCCTGGCGAGAGCGGGGCGATCGGCATCGCCGCAGCCCACGGCTCAGCCCCGGCGAGGACGCTGCTGCTGCTGCTCACATGAGAGCATCCACGACGGTATCGCAGTATGCACTACCCCTGCCAGAGTCAGAGGAAAATTTTGTATCCATGGCTCAATAGGGAAAAGTTATTTTAGTCATAATACAATGAGCTGGAATAAATTGTCTTTTTATTCTCAATCAGTGGGCAATTCATTAGAATTGGAGCCCTGTTCAGCTTGGCTTTAGCTGACTTACCAAACAATCCGCATTACAGCTCTGTTCAGAGGATTTGCCAGCACAATACAAATTTGTCTCTGTTCTGCAGAGTTGAGCTCCTCCAGGCAGATCACACGCTGAGCCAAGGGCAGATGTGCAGAGAAGATGCTGCTGTACCATGCCTCAGGACGGCAGCAGAGAGCGTTACCTGTCCAGAATCCTTCTTCCCCGCCACCCCTTTCCCTCTCCTATTTCACATTTCCACCTTTCCAAAAGGATTATTAAAAAAAAAATAATCAAAACCAACACTGTATTGATCCAACAGTTCTCAGAGCTGCAATATATACGTATGTTTAAATAAGTCTTCATATTGCTAGTGAGTGCTCCTACTCTAGGGACAGGAATCCCCTTGGGAAGTCTGCTGTGCTTTTCATGGAAGCAGCAAGAACTGAGGACGTTCAGCCTTGGCAATGAATTATCAGCAAAGAAAATGGCCAGAAATTAAAAACCTCAGTTAATTTTCTCTCGCTGTCCCCACAATTCTCTCACACCAGAGCTAGGCACTGCAATCCCCAAGCACGCAGATGCCCAGCAGGGAGAGGTGCAGCTTTCCTGGGCAAGCCTCTGCCCAGCGGCCACTTGACTTCCTTCCCAAGAGCTCTTCAGAAGCCGGCTGCACGTCCCATCGCGGGGTAGATCAGGCTAGAGAAACACATGACTTGAAAAAAACTACATGAGTGGGCTAGAGTAGAAACCAGGATCTAGATACCCACCCCCAAAATTTAGGCACTGTCGGTATTCACAGCATCGAGGCCACTTCAGCTGTCATTACAAGTCCCAGAGACAAGCACACGCAGTGAGACACGCGGCTGTGCCGCAGCTGGGCGCGAGCTCTGGTCCAAACCCAGACGACAGATCGTTTGCTCCCGTGCCCGGCTCGAGGTGCTGGGAGCGTGCCAGCTCACAGCAGGAAAACAAATACATCACCGGCAACGGCCGCGATGGGAACAGGGAGCTTGGGGAACGCCGAGGCAGCTCGGCGCGTCCTCGCAGGGTGCTGCAAAGGCCGGCTTTCCCTGCCCACGCCAGGCGAGCTGATGAGCCAGGGGAAGGGAACACATCCATCAAAGACTTGTAACGAAAAGATTGTTCCGTGGCTCCAAAGTCCCCGCACAGCAAAGAGCTGCAGCCAGGGGAAGCGCACCGGGAACTGTCCCCCCGTTTCCTCGATAGGTTTCTTTGACTTCTACTGTTGTCATTCGCGAGGGAAAGCTGTTAGCGGAGCAGAGCTTGTGGTGTGACCCGAGACAACACCCCTGAACCAACATCAACAGCTTTTTACACAGGGAAATAAAAACATGCTTTAAAACAATTAGTTACCTTTTTGGTTTTTTTTCCCCATCCTCAACTTCATTATTTTAGCCTCAAGCTCAAAGATTTTTGACTGCTTCAGGGTTAGCAATAACGTTAAATTCACCACCTGCC